AAAACGGTTTAAGCTCCTTGAGCTTCTTAGACCTATAGAACAGTGTAGAAAGCAGGAACAAAAGTGCAAAGAGAGAGTCATCTAAGCCAGGGGTCACTAACCTTTGGGACCATTAAATTCATAATTTTAAATTCTGCGGACCACTGATATGATCTGCCTAATGACTGACTAGGTGGTCATGTGATTGGGTGGGCGCGACCAACTCGATATCACTCACGCCAAGGGACACCTTCCCAGCCAGTCCTCGCCTGCCCGCCCAGGGTCCTTAGGGCCCCAACAGGAAGCAGTTGTTGGAGCTAAACAGCAACCAGGAGAAAGAGTTGGTAAAACAGCTCAAATTGGATCTGACCGAGAAGGAAACTCAGCAAAAGCACCTCACTGAGGACTACGAGCATAGGCTTTCCAAGCAGAGGGAAGACCTGCAGGAGTGCAAGGCCAGGTACCGGCGCCTGGCAAGCTCAGCAGGCTGAAATTGTCAGCCAGTTCCAGGCTAGGATGCAGTCCCACTGGAATGAGGTACTCTGGCTCTTCGCCACCAGTGGCACTTCCCTCCAGTCTTTGTCCAAAGCCCCACACCAGGAGGCTGAAGCAGACCCCATGTCGGAATTTCTGCCCCCCTCCGACCCACACAAGAAGACCCGAAGAGGGAGACACTCTGCAGCAACACAAGCGTTCATTGCACATATCCAGCCCAGGGGCCATAGTTTGAGGACCCCTGATTTAGTGCAATATAAAAAATGAAAATAATTTTTCTGCAGACCACCAAAATTTTCCCCAAAGACCACCAGTTGGTGACCGCCGATCTAAGCACTTGCATGTAAAGGAAGTCCTTAACTTATGATCACAATTGAGCTCCAAATACCGTTGCTAGGCCAGGCAGTTGTTAAGTGAATTGCACCTCATTTTATAACCCTTTTTGCCATACTTTTGCCCTTTTTGCCATAGAGCCAAGGTGGCGCAGTGGTTAAAAGCAGCACTGCAGGCTACTGCTAGATCAGCAGGTCAGCGGTTCAAATCTCACCGGCTCAGGGTTGACTCAGCCTTCCATCCTTCCGAGGTGGGTAAAATGAGGACCCAGATTGTTGGGGGGCAATATGCTGACTCTCTGTAAACCGCTTAGAGAGGCCTGAAAGGCCTATGAAGCGGTATATAAGTCTACTGCTATTGCTATTGCTACTTGTTAAGTGAATCATTGTGTAGGAAATGGCCAGGCTGAGCCGGAGGGAGGGGTCAAATGTGTCATGAGTCATGAGTCCCTTTGCGCCCATAAGAGATCTCTCTATGAAAAAGGAGAGAGAAAACCCTGAGCTCCATGTTTTTATAGTTAACACAACAAAGAAAATGGAAGAGGAAAGTTGATTGGGCAGAATAAAAGTAATCTCCCCTTTGCATAGGAAACCAGTTACATGTAGTCAAACACGTTACATATTTGCATCCCATAACATCACATATATTCATTAAAATGACCTCTGATATCAGAAGGGGCGTAAATTGTAAAGAAAAGGGTTATTTGGAGTTCACAAAAGAGATAAACCAGATCCCAAAATCTACTAATAAACTTTTTCTTATCTGGAGCTAGCCTCCAGCCTGCTTATCAGTTTAAGGATGTTAAAAGCTAATAAACCTGAACATCATTTTTTAAATGTTGGAAGAAATGTCTTTCTGGTTCCAAGTGGGGGAAAATGTCTTTCTGGTTCCAAGTGGGGGAAAAGACACTGGAAATATGGAGGCTGTTTGGAAAGATGATTTAATGGTGGACAAGATCACATGGCTTGAGTTCCTGAGCAGAAAAGGGCAGAGATGCTGAGAGTACCTGGTTTTATGCTCTCTCTTGGGTCCCACCAGTATTTCCTGTTCCTGTGTAAGAAATGCATTCTGATTGGTTGCTGTCAGAGGTCAGAACCTCTTATAGGTTGTGTGCTAAGTTTAGTTAAAACTTGGGGTGGGGAGTGCAATGAAGTGCAATGAGATGGAGTAAATCTTGGTTATATAGAATAGGCTGGCTCAGGCCTTAATGGCCCATTGACAAAGGTGGGGGGAGCTATTAAGAGTAAGTCTGTTTCATGCCTAAAATATGTTTCTCTGACTCAGGCCTTAATGGCCCATTGACAAAGGTGGAGGGCAGAGTTTCTGCCTCTCTGAGTTTCTACTTCTCTTTTTAGGGGAAATATTCTGCCTTTTTAATATTTCCTAAAGTATTTCATTTTCTAGGAGAGGGGTGGGTTTTAACTTCTTACAAAAAGAGAGAAAATAAATCAAATTAAAATACAAAGTAACTGTGTTAGTTAGCGAATTGCAAAACTCATGTCATGTGCCCCTCACTTCCCAGCTGGCTTCAGTCAACCAAAGTCAATGGGGGAAGTCAGATTGACTTAAGGCAGTTGTTTTAAGGTCAAGAACTACCTATACTTAGATTATAAGTCAAGAAGGACTACCTGTACTCAGATTAGACATTAGCCCAGTTAGGTCAAGCCAGGATTTGCATCAGGAGGTCATCTTAGGTTTCTGTGGTTGCCCCTGATTTCATCATAGATGCGTCCACACCATCTCGTGAAATACTAACACCCAACAGCATCTGAAAACAAAATGAATCTTCTTTTTTAAAAACAACAACAACACATGCTTTTATTTCAAGGTGACTTCGCCCTGAAGTTAAAGAAGAGCTTTTTCAGAAGTGGGCAAAATGTTCTTATGTTTCTTATATAATCCAGTCAGTGGAAATGATGCTAAAGAGAATGAGTTCCCCAAGGAGATTTTTGATAGAATATCTCTCAGTCCAATGAAGCCTTATTATTTTAGACCCATATTTAGCTCAGCCGCTTCTTCACCGTCAAGAACCAGCACTTATCCTGCGGTCCAATTATTGCAAATTTCCTTTACAATTTACACTTCACAGACTATCCAGAACCAAGAGATTTAAGCTAAAGCTCTTAAGTAAAACTTGATTTGGAAGGCTGAGATTTTTATCATAATAACACCCTAAAAACAGAAATATAGTCATGAGGGAATATATTTCATCATTTCCATCAGTACTTCATAACTTTCAGCAACGGTGACAGGCAGCAGCAAAGAATCAGGTACAATGAATTATATACAGAGGAGAATGAGAATTATTTCCAATTCTCAGACAAATAAAAGAACTAGAATAGGAATTATGTTGTAAAACGCAATATGGGGGGGAAAAACAGGATTGAATAACTGAGAGGAATCAGATCTGCTGCAGATCTGGGGCCTTGGGGTGGAGTGTGGGGAAAAGTTTTATAAAATTACTTCTGCACCACACAAAGGAGTGTTCATGTTAGCAACATTCACATAGCTTTGATAATGCTGATGGAGAGGAATTATCATAGCATTGCTTTTCACAGGACTTTTCAGCATCTATTCTGGCTCCCTGGTTGAATTAGTGAGCCATGCTCTACTCTGATCCATTGCTCCTGTTATTGTCCATGGCTTGTATGGCTCCTAATCCCTCTTGTTACTCATTGTGCAAACTGGCCTGAAACTGCTCTTGTACTTGCTGACCTGTCCACTGAAATGTCCGGGAATGAAGTACTGCTCAATTGTTATTGCTATCAGAAAGATTCTCAGGCAAATTAAGGGCAAGGAATGGATCACCTATAGGTAGGAGAGTGACAGAACCTGGGACCTGAGTCAAAAGAGAAATAAGCCTAGTGTTGCTTGGTAGCCACAAACCTCTCCTGCATTTGGTTGACCCTTAACTAGTGCCAAAATGATGCTAATCGTTAGTTGACTAGATTCCTGTGTATAGGCATGAGCAATAATAAATCAGTTTAATTGGAACTTCGCATGTGATCCTGATCTTTCGGCCTGACACTAGACCTGATTATATCAACATCAACACCAACACCAACACCAACACCAACACCATCATCATCATCATCATCATCATCATCATCATCATCATCATCATCATCATCATCCTTTGGTTAATCTTTGGTGAGATTCACAGCCTTTGGGGCTGGTTGGTAGCTTAACAGCTCGAGTCCTAACCAAGGATCTAGGAACTGTTAAGGTAACTTCGGAGGATATAAGCTGTTCCACGTAGGGTGGTTTTTTGTAGAATCAGAATGTTCAAGTCCGATAAATTTAGAATTTCCAAATAGCGAGGTAGCCCTTTAGGTATTGCTCCAAGGGCTNACTGCTATTGCTATTGCTATTGCACTGTCCCAACAAGGAGAATTCAATAGAGGAGAATATTTGCAGCTCAGGGTTTAAATGAGGGGGCGCTGGCGCTCAATATTCGAGGGGACTGACCAAAAGAAGAAGAAGGGGGGGGGTCAACCTATTCTGCCAAGTGTCAGGCTTGGAAGCCAAGGGGGGGGACGGGGGGGGGGAGGAAAAGGCCTCCAGCTTGCCACATACTCAGAGATGGTTACTATCGGAAGCTGGGGCGGTGGTGGTATGGAGCTTGGGAGTTGAGTAGCCATAACAACATTCCTTCTCAGAAAGTCAAGGTCGCCTCATCCCTGCAGCTGGTCGGATGTGGATGGGAGGACGCTTATCTCCAATGGTGGTAGGGCCAGGGGGGGGTCACACTCAAGGCCTGGGGGGCCGGACCCTCCCCGTGGGGTGCTTAGATCTGGCCCGCAGGGCTGCCCTGGAAAGAAGCGAGGGGGGGGGGGCTGCCCACGGTGCCAGCACAAAACAAGAGCTCCGTTTTCACTAGCAGAGGGCTGCAGGAGGACGTCGCGGCCGAAAACGGAGCTCGGGAGGCCATTTTTGCTAGCAGGGCGCTTGGGCCAGCACAGACATCCCCGACACGAGTTGACGTTAAGCCAGCCACGCCCACCCAGGGCCCCTGAGCTCAAACACAACTAGTAAAGGAGAAAGGCAGCTTAAAAAATAAATATTAATCAGTGCAGAAATTAAAACAGCTCTCCGAGCCGGGGCGAAAGCCCAGTTCAGCCGGTTCTGGTGGCCGGGAGTTCCACTGGCCGCCAAAGCGGGGAAGCAAGCAAAGAAGAAGCTCTAAGGCTCACCCTGCTGCTCCCGCTCCAGTTTCTGGATCTCGAGGGCCTGGCGGGTGACGTCCATCTCCTGCTTGACCAGGTTGATCCTCTGGGTCACCTCCCCGAGTTTCCTCTTGCGTTCGTTCAGGATGGCCTTGTTCTCCTTGAAGATGCGGTTGATCTCACTGCCTCGCTCCCCCTTGAAGTCCTCGAAGGCCGACGTCCTGGTTGGCGGGGAACTGCCCCGAGGAGGAGAGGGAAGGTTATTGGTTATGCATAGTCCTCGACTTACAACCTTTTTGTTCAGTGGCCGTTTGAAGTTGCAACGGCAACTGAAAGAAAAAAAAAGAGACTTGTGACCAGTTTTCATAATTAGGACTGTTAAAAGGTAAAAGTAAAGGTTTCCCTTGCGTATCTGTGCTGGCCGTTCCCGACTCTAGGGGGCGGTGCTCATCTCTGTTTCAAAGCCAAAGAGCCAGCACTGTCCGAAGACGTCTCCGTGGTCATGTGGCTGGCATGACTCAACGCTGAAGGCGCACGGGACGCTGTTCCCTTCCCACCAAAGGTGGTCCCTATTTTTTCTACTTACATTTTTAAGTGCTTTCGAACTGCTAGTTTGGCAGAAGCTGGGACGAGTCACGGGAGCTCACTCTGTTACGGGGGTCTAGGGATTCGAACCGCCGAACTGCCGACCTTTCTGATCGACAAGCTCAGTGTCTTAGCCCCTGAGCCTCTGTGTCCCTAAATTCACTTAATGACTTTCTTGCTCAGCAAATTTTGGACTCAATTGTGGTCGTCGTGCGAGGACTACCTGTAATTGATCGGTTCGATTTCTAGACCGATGTGACGCTTGTCGGTTTACAACAATTGTCTTTGAGCCACCGATCTGCGCATCCTTTATGCTGTCGTTGTCAGTCTCTCCCAAGCACACGGGCAGGAAACAGGACCGGATGAACCAATATCTACTTTATGGTAAGGCTACGTTGACAGAATCTTGGAAGACGTAGAATAATGAGAGTTTGAAGGGACCCCTGGAGGTCTTCTAGTCCAACCTCTTGCCCAGACAGGAGTCCCCGGGCCATCTCAGACAAATGCCTGCCCAGTCCTTTCTTAAAAGCTGCCAGTGATGGAGCACCCGCAAATTCTGGTAGCATGCGGTTCCCCTGGTTAATTGCTCTCCCTATCAAGACGTTTCCAGTCTAATTCTAGGTTGCTTCTCTCCTTGATTAGTTCCCACCCATTGCTTCTTGTCCTGACTTCAGGAGCTTTGGAGAATAGCTTGACTCCCTCTTCTTTGGGGCAACCCCTGAGATATTGGAAGGCTGCTATCATGTCTCCCCTGGTCCTTCTTTTCATTAAATATTAGACATACCCAGTTCCTGCAACCGTTCTTCATATGTTTTAGCCTCCAGTCCTCTAATCCTCTTTGTTGCTCTTCTCTGCACTCTTTCTAGAATATCCACATTATTTTTACATCGTGGCGACCAAAACTGAAGGCAGTATTCCAAGTGTGGCCTTACCAAGGCATTATAAAGCGGTATTCATTTGATTTTGATTCTACCCTTCTGTTAATGCAACCTAGGACGGCAAAGGGC